GGGCCCATTTTCACAAAAAACGGGCCGTTTTTAGGAGGTTTGCAGAGTGCAAAAACTTTTTTTTAAAAATTGCCTCTTCAAAATCTTGGTGCGTCTTATACTCTGAAAAATACGGTATTTCTTGTCCTGCCCCCAAGTGCTTTGGGGGATAGGTTGACCCCCTCTTCTTTGTGAGGGCAATATAATAAGGGCACTGCCTTTGTATAAGTTCTGGAACATTCTCATAGACAAAACCAGAACATTTTCCTCATGAGCAGAAGTTATTTTCTATGAATATTTGGCTAGATCCTTCAGGCTGCTGCAGTGACAGGCAGGATTAATATAGTGTGAAGCAAATGCCACATCTTGTAGCATTTTGAAAGATTACAGTTTTCTTAATGGCACAAGAAGGTGCATCTTCAAATGATTATGCACCATGTATCTTTATTTGTCTTTAAAACATTCTCCTTTGGAAGAGATATTTTGATGCAATGTGCTTCTTGTCTCTTAAGTCACAGAGCAAATTGATGCCTATGAAAACATGCCACCAGATATGGGTGCACAACGTGGCCAAAGGTTACTGCAGAAAGGAAAAATCTTGCCCAATACCCTCATCATGGAAGGTAGGTACAGATAGGCAGGTCATAGAATTAGGTATTGTGTATATAATTTGTAATTGGGGAAGTATCAATAATAAAAATAGCATAAAGAGCAAAGACTGATTATGACTGAAGTAATGTTACAGTAATAGCAAATAATATTATATGATCAAGTAAGGTAACATTATAAACATTGCACTTTCTTTCTCTCTTTTTTCTTTTTCTTCTTATAACTCTGTAATCTCTTGATTTGGGGTTCGGGCGACTGGTGGAGCTCAGAATTTATTGGCCAGCTGCCCTTCCTGAAACCTATGCAGAGTTTGCAGTAGATATTTTCTCTTTGCACCCTGAGAGACATCACACTTCATTCTACATCCTATGAATTGCTTTTAAAGATCTGACTTTGAGTTGCTACTGGTTTAATTTTGGTTTAATTTCTGAGGGTGTGAAGCCAATGATGCAAAACACAGAAGGGGAATCTTCAGCTCAAGACTTCTGAAAAGTAAATGTTTTCAAATGTTAATGCAGGTTTTTATACAGCCCAATCCACCAAAGGCCTGTAATGAACAAGACTGTAATTTATAATGTTTAAACAGGTTCTAAATGTTCCTAGGCATTTATTTATAACTTTTCCTGTTATTGTAAAGCAACATCACAGTCACAGTCACCTGTGACTAGTAATGCTTTCTTAAATGAAGGCAGGATGCACACACACACACAAAACCAGCACAGGAAATGGGTGAAGCTGTTTAAAGACTGAACCAAAGTGGGCCTCCACCTTTCAACGTGAGGCACCTGCCTTTGCCATTCATAACAACAAACAAAACTCTGAAAACACCAGAAATGTTGGTGCAAATTTCTCACAGAATGTTTGATACTGTATTCTTCAGAATTATGGGGTTCTTCAAAAACTTGATGAAGTTCTATAAGAGACTAATGGCAAAAAAAAAGTTTACAGACCACATTGTTCTCATCATGACCCATTAAAAAAAATTAAGCTGGCCATTTTGTGGATCCTTCTCCATCTTCTTCTCCTCTTCCTGGTTTGGGAGCTTCACAAGGTTTAAAACCCTCTTATAATCACTAAAAGCAATAGCAAGTGTGGCAGTAGCACAGAATACTTTGTGCCACCAGTAGTGTTAATGGCATGCTTTGTGCAACAGGCTGGTTCAACTAGGCAGCCTTTTGACACAAGCAACACAGATGAGGGTAGAGGAAGTAAATAACTTCAACTCTTCCTCTTTTTGCATGATTAGACAAGAGTTATTTCATTATGGGTGATTTACAACATCTTCTAGAGTTGACCAATCATTGTGTCAAGCTAGCAGGGGCTGTTTCATTTTCAGGAGCTTCCATGCCTGCCTGCTTTCAGATAAGCTGTTTTATTTTTATTTTTAAATCATATAGAACAATGTTTCTCTACCTTGACAACTTAAGGGTGTGGAATGCAACTCCCAGAATTGAATGCCATCTGGGAATCTGGGAGTTGAAATCCACACATTTTAAAGTTGCCACGGTAGAGAAACACTCATAGATAATGGTTCTTTAAAATAAAAGCGCATTTAACAAAGTAAGCTTTTCTTATTTTACTTCAAAGTGGTGTAAACTAATAGGCAAAAAACAGGTAAAATCAGATGCGATCACAATGGCTTGCTTAACAACTGCAATGAACTTAACAACAAACTTTCCAGTCCCTATTGTGGTCACAAATCAAGGACTACCTGTAGTATCATGCAGTCCATTCTTAATGTAGGAGGCCAGTGACTTAAAAAGAGGATTCTCAATCATAGTAATCATGACCCACTATATTATTTACTGAATCAACTAGTGTGAATGCTCCCCATGAAGAGAGCCAAATACCGTAATAAATACAGAAATAATAAAACTATTTGTGATTGACAGATTTGCCAGACAGCTCTCCCACTTGTGCCTTTGTCCCCCGCTATGTCCAAGCTTCATGGGTGTTCCCTTGCAAGTTGCTTGAGACTATCCAGGGGGACATGACTTGAGGTCTGAGAATCCATGCCTTATGTCAATCAATCAGAATAGAGCTGGAAGGGACCTTTGAGGTCTTCTAGTCCAATCCCAAGCTCAAGCAGGAGACCCTATACCACTTCAGACAATGACAGTCCAGTCTCTTCTTTAAAAACTCCCATGATGAAACACCCATAACTTCTGAAGGGAAGCCGTTCTATTGATTAAATGTCCACACTATTACCAAGTTTCTCCTTAATTCCAGATTGCTTCTTTCCTTGATTAGTTTCCATTGTTTTTTGTTCTCCCTCCTGGTGCTTTGGAAAATAGGTTGAGCCCCTCCTCTTTGAAGCAACCTCTCAAATGCTGGAATACTACTATCATGTCCCCCCTAGTCTTTCTTGTCTCTAGACTAGGTAAATCCAAATCCTGCAAATGTTTTTCATATATTTTAGTCTTCAGGCCTTTAATCGTCTTATTTGTTCTTCTCTGCACTCTTTCCAAACTCTCAACATCTTTTTTGTAATGTGATGAAAACTGGATGCCGTATTCCAGGAGTGGCCTTACTAAGGCTTTATATATAGTACTAATACGTCTTGTGATTTTGATTGTTTGACGTCAATCAGGCAATTTTCTGATGATTTTCTGATGTTAATCAGAAAAGCTAGTCCAAAAATTGCACCTAACTTCCTTTTCTTTCCATCAGATGAAGAAGAATATGAATGCCCTGATAGTGAAACTGAGCTGAAGTCAGATGGTAAAATGGGTTAAGTGGGGGGGGGAGGAGCAGCATGAGGTGGGAAAGGAATTTATAGGACAATAGTTAGCAGCTCTCAAGCCTTAGACACAGGTAGACTATCAAATGTAGCACAGTCAACTAACAGCTTAATCTCTTAACTGAAAAAATTACCCTCTTGAAATACATAGGGTTGGATGTGGGGAAAGTTTGGATTGGTTGGAATCACTTGCTGTGGTCATCATAATATGTTCGTTCTTTGGGGCAATGCACAAATGAGTTAATGAATAAACCATTATTTACTTTATATTAAGAAATTCCATGAAATCTTACCTTGCTGTGAACTTATTGATTGCAGTTATAGTTGGCACCAATTGACCTGGTAAACCTTAAATCAAGTGGTGCAGTGTTCTGAGAAATTGAACATATTGTTAAGATATAATATATACAGCTATAGGTAAAACCAGAAAACAAAGGAAGCCACAGCTCTTGACCGAGCTTTAATTTGGGCAACTAGTAGCATCATAGTAGAATGTGGAAGAGAAAAATAATAGTGAAAGTGAGAAAAATGTGGGCGGGGCAAAATGGCAACTGCTTCTGAGTTGCTACCATGCGACTCAGCGACAAATTGCTTTATTTTGTTGCCTTTACAAAGTCTTCACAGTGCTGTGGACAGCTTCTGAAAGCTACACAAAACTTCTGAAAGCTGCAGAAAGCTTCTGCAGCACTTGAAGACTGCATTAAGGCAGCAAAAATGAGGGTCCAAAAATGAGCAAAATGGAGCCATCTGCTCCATGGCTGCCATCTTATCCCACTGCCTCAACATGATGTCCGGGAATTGTCAAAAGGTAAATGTGGGGTAACTATGGGCATGTTGGGAGGAAGCCCAAGCACTGCGGAGTCCAGGCAGGGCAGGATGAATCTGGCCCTAGGTTCTGCCTCGATTTATCTTCCCAATAAACAATTGAGTCGGAAGATCATTTAAAAACAGTTTACTAGGGTACCCTGATAAAGTGGGATCTCACTATGAAAAGAGAGAACCTGGAAACCCACTTTACATTCCTTTTCATAGTTAACACAACAAAGCAAAATAAAAGAGGAAAGTTGGTTGGATAGGATAAGAGTAATCCTTCCTTGCACAGTAAATCAATTATAAAGCCTATTTGAAGTTAGATAACCAGATCCCCAGTTACACTCCTCCTGTAAATTATCTGATCAGTTTAGGAATGTTAAAAATTATCTAATCAATCTGTACAACCTTAAGATGAAGGTTTTCCTACATTCCAGTTTGCCACGACCCTGAACATCATTTTCCAAAAGAAAATAAGTCAAATTAAAATAGAAAGCATCTATGTATTAGCAAGTTACAGAATCCATGTCACGTGCCTCTCAAAATCCATGTCATCTGCCCCTCAGGAGAGAGTCAATGGGGTATTGCAGCATTCCTGTGGTCAGATATAAGGGCGAATGACCACAGGGTGGTGCGGTGACCATAACTTTGAAATGGGGTCATAATGTAGAGTTTTTTTGGGGGGGGGTATTTGTCCTCAATTCAAACTGTCATATTTTAAGGACTACTTATAATCTTTTAAATCTTGTTTGGTTTTGTTTCAGATGATGAAAACTATGAAAATACTCAAGAAGAAGTGAAACCGGGAGTTGTAGTTTTGAATGGTAAACTAATTTATCTTACAAGCTTTGCTTTCTTAATGTAAGTTCTCATCAGATTGCTTCATTGATTTCCTACATTTTGTGAAGGAAGCTGATGAACTTCTCAGGGCAATTGCAGACAGTTTTGAAAAGTTAAGATGCAGGCCATCTTAGGGTGCAGATCAGGGGTCNCTGTGCTCGGATTTTTCATTAGCATCTAAAATTTCCTCAGGTGTGAAAAAAGCGAGAACAGCCTGTAAGCCTAACATCCAGACCCAAAGACAGGAAACTTTGTTTTAAAAATTAAAATCTGAAATGCTTAGTGCCTAATGTTTATTTATACTGTGCAAAATAAAAACATGCTAAAAAATTTGATGGGAAACTGATTCAACCAGTATTTTTTTTTAAAAGCACCGCTTATATTTAATACAAGTGCTTATTAAAAGCTAGAAATAGCATAGCAGGCACTGTCTTAGAAGACACATCTTCTTTTCTTCTTTCAAATAGAGGGAATAAAAACTGATTTATCATTAAATACAATAAATATTTGTATTTATTTGTTGCAGTTGTTATTTAATCGTTGATAAGGCCTAATCACATCTTTTTCTTCCTTCTCCTCCATCCCGATCAAAGTTGTTTTGCATTGGATAATTTGGTCTGTAGCAACGGGATATATGATTATTTGCCTTGGCTCTGTTTTTTGCTTTCTAAGGCTCCGGCAAGGTACGTATCTTTACATTCAGAAGCTTAATGAGAGAAACGTATGGACAAATATTTTCTGTAATTTATTAAAACTAATAGTTTAATACAGGTAGACAATTGAGCCTAAACATTCTCTTGCTAAGTAAGACATTTGTTAACTGAGTTTTGCCCCATTTTATGACCTTTCCTGCCACAATTTTTAAGTGAATCAATGCAGTTGTTAAATTAGTAATATGGTTTGTAAGTGAGTCTGGCTTCCCCATTGATTTTGCTTATCAGAAAATCACAAAAGGGGATCACAAGATCTCCGGACGTTGCAACTGTCATAAGTATGCGTCAGTTGATAACATCTGAATTTTGACCATGTGACTATGGGGATATTGTCATGGTTGTATGTGTGGAAAACAGCCATAACTCACTTTTTAAAGGGATGTTGTAACTTCAAATATTAAATGAACTATTTTAAATTGAGGACTACCTGTAGATTAAATCTAATCCTTTCAATACAAATAGTGACAATATTTCTTTCCATTTGGTTAAAGGGAATCCTTGATTTACGACCACAATTTTCATTTTTAAGCAAAGCAGTTGTTAAGTCAATCCCAATTTTACAGACTTTTTTGCCACAATATTAAGTAAATCACTGCAGTTGTTAAGTGAATCTATTGCTATTAAGTAAATCCAGCTTGCCCCCATTGATTTTGCTTGCCCGAAGCAAGCCAAGACAGTTGCAACTGATGATCACATGATCTCACTACAATCAATGCAAATTTATGCTAGTTACCAAGTGCCTGGATTTTGATCACATGACCTTGGGGACACTGCAATGGTCAGAAGTGCAAGGACACAAGTCATAAGTCACTTTTTTTTCAGTGCCATTGTAACTTCAAATAGTTGCTGAACAAACCTTGATTGTAAATCAAGGATTACCTGTATTACTTTTAAAGCTTAAATGGCTTGAGAAAATGTCTCTATGGGTCCTCCTTTGAGATTAATCCTTTGCAATGTTTGACAGGAAGCTAGGTTGATTCCATAGAGCCTTTCATTATTTGGGAGTAACTCTCTAGCAAACTGAGGACTCCAATAGGCCTTTTGGCTGTTGACTTTAACTGCTGTTTTATTTTTATTTTTTAATATCCTGAGCTCTAGTTCTGATGTTTTATGGCAGAAGGTCACAAAAGGGGATCACGTGACCTTGGGACACAGCAACTGTCATAAATATGAATCAGTCGGCAAGTATCTGAACTTTGTTCAAGTGACCATGGGGATGCTGCAACGGTCATAAGTGTGAAAAATAGTCATACATCACTTTTTACATTGCCAGTGTAACTTTGAACGGTCACTAAATGAACCGTTAGAAGTCGAGGACTACCTGTATTTGAAATGATCCCTGTCAACTTTTCTTGTTTCAGTCAACCGAGCTCGCAGGCAACAGAAGAAGTTGATAAGTCATAACAGGAGGTAAGTATTCAGAATATAACAGAGGGCCAAAAAATAGAGGGAATTGTGCACTGAATTTAGAAAACTATGTACAAGAGAAGATTGTGGACTCTACAAGATAGGCCTGGCAAAAGGAAAACAGGAGACAATAGACAAGAAAAATGAAGGAATGTGGCATGCAAAAAAGAAAATCAAATGTGTTTAGCAGATTAAAATTTTTAGCCTGGCAGAAGAAGGAAATGATTAAACACATGCCCAGATATGTTGTTGTGTCAATTAAATTAAGACCCTCGATTTAAGTTAGATTAAATTCAGTCCTTGGCATGTTCATCCCCTCTTTCTTGAAATGTCATGCTCTTAGCATGATACTCAAGCTCAAGTTTGATCCTCAACCCCGAATCAGATATGGGTCCCTCTGCCCCATATCAGTCTTCCCCAATCTGGTTGCATCCAATTTTTCGAGAAAACAGTTGCCAGAAATAGTTCTTCTTTGATTACATGTCCAGCCCATTTACAAAAATTAGTCTATAACTATTAATGGAGATTCCTTAACTTTATAAATCCCATTGATACAATAAGATATTTTTAGGTTCTGAATTAAATGGTTTTAATGAGACTGGGAAGAAAAGTATCTCGGTTGATACTGTGTGTTTCTCAACTCCATGCTGCATATAGGAACCCAATAAGGACCCCAGATATTTTCCCTGATCTTCTCCCCTAATGGCCCAAGTGCCATCAGCTAAAGTATTCTAGAGGACTATTTGAAGCTTAGGAGTAACAACCACAGTTGTCCTCCCAAAAAAGACTCACACTGTTGAGCATCTGATGTCCTTCACATTTGTGCCCCAACAAAGCAATTTGTGTTCAACTCAATCTTGATGTCATTCATATTTTATGTGTCTCTCATTTCCAGAAGATACTTTTATGCCAAACGGAACAAAAGATCCAATAGGATTATGGTATCTGCAGGAAATGATGATGGTGAGTTAATTAGGACCTTTCTCCATTCACAAAATTCTTCCTCAAGAAGAATGCTAATGTACATTTTCCACTACTTTAATTTGCGGAAAAGTATGCTAGTGAAAGTTGCTTTAGGAATGCAGCACACCAGTGTTTGTCCTTATAGATTTAATGCAAGAAAAATTAAGGAAAGTAATTGCCAGATCTTCTGGTTCCAACCAAGCATGATCTACAGTAGGAAAATCGTCTCTCTAACATGGCTTGGGTTGGAGTTGAAGAGAAGAGAAGATTTGACATGTCGCAAAATGTGCTCTGGTTTCATTTACTATGTTGTATGGTACCCAAAACCCTTTGGGGCATAAATTTAGCCCTATTCTGAATTAGTGTTGTTGGAAAATGAGTAAAGGCTTAGAGCAGCGATGGTGAACTTTTTTTGGCTTCCGTACCATAAGTGGGGGGAGCGCAGGAGGTCATGCATGGGTGTGCCGCACCCATAATGCAATGTGCAACCCTCCCTCCCCCAGCACGCATGCCTGCATGACAGGTGCGACCCCCCATTTTTTGCATGCTTTTTTCGCCCTCCCCAGGCGCCAGAGGCTTTATAGGGGAGGGCGAAAACAGCCTCCCTCCCAGAGGCCCCCCAGAGTTTCCCTGAAGCTTCTGGAGCACAAAAAATCAGCCTTATGTGCAAACCGGAAGTTTGGAAACGGACTTCCGGTTTGCTCGTAGGGCCGGTTTAAGCCCTCCAGAGCCAGGGCCTCGCGTGCCCTGACAAATGGCTCCATATGCCACCTGTGGCACATGTGCCATAGGTTCGCCATCCCAGGCTTAGAGACTAAAACATGTGAAGAACAATTGCAACATTGGGTTTGGCTAGTCTAGAGAATAGGACTAGGGTGGGGTGGGGCGTGATAGCGGTATTCCAGTATTTGAGAAGTTGCCACAAAGAGCAGGAGGGTCAACGTATTCACCAAAGCACCAGAAACAGAGCAAGAAACAATGTATGGAAACTAATCAAGGAGAGAACCAACCTGGAACGAAGGAGAAACTTCCTAAGAGTTGGGACAATTAACCAGTGGAACAGCTTGCCTTCAGAAGTTGTAGGTGCTTCATCACTGGGTGTTTTTAAGAAAAGACTGGACAGTCAACTGTCTAAAATGGTATAGGGTCTTCTGCTTGAGCAGTGGTTTGGATTAGAAGACCTCCAAAGCCCCTTCTCTGTTCTTCCATTGATTGATTGATTGGTTGGTTGGTTGATCAAAGTTTCTCTGTTCTAGAACAGTGTTAAGCTCTAAGAAACTTGAAACACCCAATTATGGGGAAGTTTGCAAGCTGAAATGAGAAAGAATTTTCTATTGCACCAAGCAATGGTCCTCTTAAAAATGCCAGCTCTATTTATCCTTGGCAAAAATGACATTTTGGGAAGGAAAACTCTTTGGCTATCAACAAGAGTAGGTTCAGAAGAAATTGTATTGGATGGAACAGAATGAAATGCTAAACTCCCCCCTCCCACATCATATTTGTATTTCTCTCTGTGTGTGTTTGTGCACACATGCATGTATGCACACAAGCGGTCTTTCCACACATTGAAGTAGTTTTCTTGATGCCAGATTGAAAATTTGAAACTGACACAATCTTGCAGTCAAGCTCCCCAGGCCTTTGTATTTGAAGCTGAGGGTACTCTTACCGCAGACTCCTGAATGGATAGCTACTTTCACTGCTTTATTTTCCTTGAAGGAAGGAAAGCAAGGAGAAATGGCTTCATAGCAGGCCCTTTGTGGAAAATGAGCCCTGGAAACCGAATTGTTCTGTTCCTCTTAGTTTCCTTGTTCTGTTCCTCTTAATCCCATGAAGCAATCACTCCATGAATGTTGAATGTTGAATGTTGATTTTATTTA